AAAAAAGTATTCTCCAGTTTATGGCTCATGACTTGCTAATACAGTCTGGTTCATCTAGGTGCCAGGACAATGAAAGGCAATAAGCAGCCACTTAGTTTGATGGAAACAGACTTGTTTTCTAGTGACCAGTTTTAAAACCAAGAGGTGGGCACCCTATCGTTGGGGAGAGCACAAATGGAATTCAGTCCAACTCCTCTAACATGCTGCTGCCCACCTGGCACAGGATGATATGATTGGCACACACCACCAGGAGGTTGCACTCAAACTTCTTGACAATCCTCTCCTTTACCCGGTAATGCATGTCTGATGAGTCCTCTGAATACAACTCATAGATGAGGATTTTCTCTGGCAGTTGGATAGCTAATCGATTTCTGTAGATGGCAATCTTCTTGACAAGCTCTTTGCATTTAATACGAACTGTCAAAGAAAAAAATATCTAGTTCTAGCAAGAGGTTGTTAAGTAAGGTGGAAGGCAAAGAAATTAAAAGCCATCATTTACTTAATGCTACTGGCAATTAAATTGAGGTACTCTCATTGAAAAATCTTTAGAGTACCTAATATATACAATCAGCTCTGCTAAGCACTGGGATCCAAAGTCCTACAGGACACAATCTTCATGTTCCAAGGCTGACAACTGAGTATGGAAAGAAAGTACTCAGTGTTACCATCACTCGCTGGATACAAATGTAAACTCTCTGCACAGCACTAGTGGCTCCTGGCAATCGGGAGCCTGCCTAAGTGACTGACCTCACCTCTGGCCACTCCTTGCCCACCTCCTTGACAAACAGAAAAGACACATAATATCTGATACATACCAGGCTCTACACTCCCACTGCAGATGAGGTGGAGAAAATGTCCCTGAAGGGACACTTCGGAGCTGCCCAAGGGGCTCTGTCCCCACCACCACAGCCAGAATCTTCAAAAAGACATGGTCCCCCATGGGGACCAAAGGACACTCATCTGATTCTACAAGACAAGCCCCCACCTGGATCCCTTTGCAAAGGCACCCAGCAGTGCACTATGGCCAGCACATCCAGATATGAATACACCTGAAATAAGTGGATTCTGAGCCTGCTTAACAGCACAGTTACTTACATAGACAGAGGGAGAGACTGAGGTCTTAGGGCTTGGGCTGACATGGTAGGCCTGGAACCATGATCTTCTGACTAAGCCTGTGCCAATCCAATTCCCCTGCTCATCTCTGGCAGAAGGACCTGCCAGGAGTCAAGTGGAGACTGGGCTGAGGGAGAAGCATCCCAGAGAAACTCTGACTGGAAAGGACAAAGGTTCACGAAGACCCATGCAGGTCAACCACCTGGCTCCAACCTGTCACAAATCATCCTCCCTCACTCAGGAAATTCATGTACTCCTTGGAATTATGTGCAAAATTCTGGGTTGGTACATTTTTCAGAGAGAGTTTATTGCTTTCATGAGATCCTCAAGGAGACTGACATCCCTACTTCCCCCACCAGAAAACAAAACAAAACAAACAAACAAGACACAGACCCAGTGGCTAACATGTTTTCAAAAGGCCAAGGAGAAACCTTTCCTGTCATTTCAAGTGCTCTGTCACTAGCCCTTTCCACCTGCTTCCACTTGTCCCTCTTCCCAAGGTCTGCACCTGCCTCTTACCTTTCTGCTCAGTGATCAGGTGCTGCACAATGACATCAGTCATGCTATCCCTGTAGGCATAACGGTCCTTGTAGAGCCCATGGACTGTGCTGAAAATAAGCTGGTAGAAGGAAATGGTGCCATCCTGGCAGCCAACCACCTGCAGGGTAAGAGAGCTGTCAATTCCCAGCTCTATGGAGAAAGTCTGCTCTCCCGTTTGTCAGACACAAACCCCAGGTACGACTCTCGAGACAGGGGCGTTGCTCAGTACCTCTCCAAGCCATGCTCCCACAGAACAAACTTCCTCTTCTTACCACATAGTTGGAATCCGGTTTCACTCGACACGTCCACACCCAGGAGTACTGCTCCCCAACAGTCCCAAGCCGCACTCCATCCTTGGTGAAAAGAGACACTTGCTTGTCTGAACCCCCCAGCAAAATGTATTCCCCTTTAGTAAAGTAGCTGATGCAGCAGGGGTCAAAATTCAGTACCCGATCCTTTCCAATCTGAGGAAAGAGAACACACACCAAGCGAAAAACCATTTTCGAATCCATAACCATTACAATACAATTAAGGGCTTTTCCTGCCAATTTTAATGGAGGGAGTTGGGAAGACACGGAGAGATGGCCAGCCTTTTCTCCGGTGTCTTCCCATGGTAAACACGGGCCTCCTCCACCTTGGCATCTCCCTTCTCCCCCTCTACACAGCCCAATCCTCAGCTCCTAGAATCAGTGGCAGCTCCCTCCAGTCCCAAGTGCTCCAGGAGTGCAGGAGTATGAGGGGCTCCTCAGCCAAGCTGGAGGCTGTGGGTGGTTTTGCTCCCAAAGGCCCCTCCTTCTGCAAATATGGTTCTTCCTATAGTTCAGTGGGTTCCCTCAGCTTTTCTCTGCCTTTTTGAAAAACTATTTTATAAAGCTGAGTTTATTCAGTTTAAAGACTGTGCTTCATTCTGCAACTACACCCATACTACTTCTCTTTATTTTTACATTTTTTGTTTATTTCAAGATGAGGTCTCGCTCTGTCACCCAGGTTAGAATGCAGTGGTACAATTACGGCTCACTGTAGCCTTGAACTCCTGAACTCAAGCCACCTTCCTGCCTCAGTCTCCTAAGTAGTTGGGACTACATGGTGAGTGGCACCATGCCTGGCAAATTTTTGCTTGTTTTGAATTAGGCTGGACTGCAGTGGCACGAACTTGGCTTACTGCAACCTCCACCTCCCAGCTTCAAGTGATCCTCTCACCTCAGCCTCCCAAGCAGCTGGGACTACAGGTGTATGCCACCACGCCTGGCTAATTTTTGTATTTTTTGTAGAGATGGTGTTTCTCCTTGTTGTCCAGGCTAGTCTCAAATTCCTGAACTCAGGTTATCCACCCACCTTGTCCTCCCAAAGTGGTGGGATTACAGGAGTGAGTCACAGCGCCTGGCCTAAATTTCTTTTATTTTTAAACTCTATGTTGAGCCTTTTTAGGAACTGCTACACTTTTCAAAGCGACTGTACCATTTTATATTTGTGTTAGCAGTATATGAGGATTCTCATTTCTCCATTCTAGTGAATGTGAATTATCTCATTGTGGTTTTGATTTCCATTTTCCTGATGGCCAATAATATGGAGCATCATTTCATGTGCTTATTGGCCACAGAGAAATGTCTCACTTTGTGGCTCAGGCTGGAATGCAGTGGTATGATCATAACCCAATGCAACCTCGAACTTCTGAGCTCAATCCCTCTGCCTCAGCCCCCTGCCATCCCCAGTAGCTGGGACTATAAGCACATACCAACATACCCAGCTAATTAAAAATCTACCTTTTTTAGAGATAGGGTCCCACTATGTTATCCAGGTAGGTCCTGAACTCCTGTTCTCAAATGATCTCCCTGTCTCTGCCTCCCAAAGCACTGGGATTACATGCGTGAGCCACCATGCCCAGTCCTGTCTTTATAGTTCTTTAGATATTCCAGATACAAGTCCCTTAGCAGATATATGAGTTGTAAAACTTCTCTCATTCTGTGGGTTGCCTTTTCACTTTCTTGATGGTGTTTCCTCAGCTTTTAGGATGAAGGTCAAAATCCTGAGCTCAGCCCCCAAGGTCATTCTCTCAGCCAAAATGAACTTGTAGTTTCCTAAGCAGGCAATGCTCAGGCCTCCACATCCTCACAGGTGCTATACTCCACACCACCCCTAGACCTAGCCAGAAGTGCTCTTACCTTCACTTTGTCTTCCAGGTGTCATCTCTCCAGGAACATCTACACTCCCCATCCCCTCATTCTCCCATAGTGCTTGTGCCCGACTATCCCACTGTACTTCTCTCATTGTCTGAAGATGCAGGGTTAATCAGGTCTGCCCTACTAAATCCCAAGCTCCTTAATACCTCTGGAGTTTTTTTGCTGTCCCAAGGGTGTCTTTTTTTTTTTTGAGACGGAGTTTCGCTCTTGTTACCCAGGCTGGAGTGCAATGGCGCGATCTCGGCTCACCGCAACCTCCGCCTTCTGGGTTCAGGCAATTCTCCTGCCTCAGCCTCCGGAGTAGCTGGGACTACAGACACGCGCCACCATGCCCAGCTAATTTTTTGTATTTTTAGTAGAGACGGGGTTTCACCATGTTGACCAGGATGGTCTTGATCTCTTGACCTCGTGATCCACCCGCCTCGGCCTCCCAAAGTGCTGGGATTACAGGCTTGAGCCACCGCGCCCGGCCCAAGGGTGTCTTTTGTGAATAAAAAGACTATTTGTGATTAACATTATTAAACTAATGTTCAATTTATAAAAGAAATAACTCTAGGAACCTGGTTTCTTAAGTTTTTAAGTTCAATTTACAAATATTTTCCTATTTATAAAACTAGTTAACGTGAACAGCTAACTGACTTTGACTGTTTAATGAATTCAATTTAGAACAGATTATAAAATCCCTTATATATCCAGTCCCATTTAAAACTTAGTTAAATTAATTCCCTTACACCAATTTAAACTGCAATTAAAAGTTTAATACATTCAAATTTCCTTTCCTTTTTAGGAATTTCAAATGCCTAGCAACCAAAACTTTCCCTAGCACTTATCTGATGCTAGAAAATCTAATAAGAAAACTAAAAATTCTTATGAATCATGACATGGAAGGCTGGCAGCTTCTGGTAATAGCTCAGTAGTACCTATCGGACCAATTCTCCCAACAGCAATAAACTCTGGACCAACTATAAACAACAACCATTGCAGGGCAACCACAAGCAGGCAGGAACTGAAGATACATGCACATCTGGACGAAGGGAACAAACATTAGGTGGACTTCTCTTTTTTTTTTTTTTTAAAAGGGTTTTTGCCTGAGGGCAAAAAAATTATACTTACATTAGAGGCCCTGCTATTATTATTATTATCATCATTTATTTTATTTTATTTTATTTTTTTTTTGAGACAAGAGTCTTGCTCTGTCGCCAGGCTTGAGTACAGTGGCACAACCTCAGCTCACTGCAGCCTTCGCATCCAGGTTTCAAGCAATTCTCCTGCCTCAGCCTCCCAAGTAGCTGTGACTACAGGCGTGTGCCACCAACCCCAGCTAATTTTTGTATTTTTAGTAGAGACAAGGGTTTCACCATGTTGGCCAGGATGGTCTCGATCTCTTGACGTTGTGATCCACCCACCTCGGCCTCCCAAAGTGCTGGGATTATAGGTGAGACACCATGCCCGGCCTATTTTTCCCACATTTGGTGAAAGACATAACGATATCAATGTATAGATTCAAAAAGGTCAGTGAACACCAAGCAGAAAAATGTAACAAATTGCTTAAGCATTCCAGTATTGCTTAGGAACCTTAAATAATATATACTTTAACTTTTATCTTTCCACTTAAAATCAGAAGTAGGCCAGATATGGTAGCTCACACCTGTATTCCCAGCACCTTGGGAACTGAAGGCAGAACTTGTGCCCAGGAGTTTCAGACCAGTATGGATATCATAGGAGACCCTACCTCTACTAAAAAATACATTTTTTTAATTAGCTGGGTTTGGTGGCATATGCCTATAGTCCCAGCTACTCAGAAGGCTGAGGTAGGAGGATTGCTTGAGCCCAGGGGGATCAAGGTTACAGTGAGCCATGATCATACCACTGCACTCCAACCTGGGTAACAGGGTCAGACCTTTTCTCAAAAAAATAAATAAATAGCCGGGCGCGGTGGCTCACCCCCGTAATCCCAGTACTTCGTGAGGCTGAGGCGGGTGGATCAGGAGGTCAAGAGATCGAGACCATCTGGCCAACGTGGTGAAACCCAATCTCTACTAAAAATACAAAAATTAGCTGGGCACGGTGGTGTGCACCTGTAGTCCCAGCTACTTGGGAGGCTAAGGCAGGAGAATTGCTCGAACCCAGGAGGAGGAGGTTGAAGTGAGCTGAGATTGCGCCACTGCACTCCAGCCTGGCACCTGGTGATAGAGCGAGACTGTGTCTCAAAATAAATAAATAAATAAATAAATAAAATCAGACATATAAAATTACTCAATTACAACTTTTAAATGGTCATTGCCAAGACTAATCTGATAGATATTCTAACATGCATTCTGTCACCAGTATGCCTGAGTTTCACCAAGGTAGACCACAGACTAACTGTGTGCCTTTGGGCAACTTATTCAATCTGTGAATTGAATCTGTGCTTCAATTTTTTTTACATGTAAAATCGCAATGATAATAGTATTTACAGCTAGGCGTGGTGGCTCACACCTGTAATCCCAGCACTTTGGGAGGCCGAGGTGGGTGGATCACAACGTCAAGAGATCGAGACCATCCTGGCCAACATGGTGAAACCTGGTCTCTACTAAAAAATACAAAAATTAGCTGGGCGTGGTGGCACACGCCTGTAGTCCCAGCTACACAGGAGGTTGAGGCAGGAGAGTTGCTTGAACCCAGGAGGCGGAAGTTGCAGTGAGCCGAGATCGTGCCACTGTGCTCCAGCCTGGCGACAGAGCAAGGCTCTGTCTAAAAAAAAAAAAAAAAAAAAAAAAAAATAGCATTTACCTCATAGGTTTGTTATAAGGATTAAAAGAGTTAATCTTTGTAAAGAGTTTATATAGTGCCTGAAATTGAATAAATGTTAGCTATTATTACTATTAAGCCAGATCCTCTTAAGTATTACTAACACTTCAAATGACAAAAATAAACAAATTATACCTCAGGCTAACATAAAAGTATGGGTTTGATTTACTTCATCATCCTATATTTAATTCTAAATCTTCCCAAATTGGGAAGGGAAGACACTTACCCACGAAGAAAACAATTTTACTGTACCAAACAAGTTGAGGCTACCATCTCAGCAGTTGGAGGCTGCTTATTGTGCAGAAGCTGTGGGCCACAACATGGGCTGCATACATGCAAGATATTTCCCATGGCCCTCCACCATGTTGCACTCTTTTTACTGTGACCATAGCAACAAGACCCCATTATCTCCCAGGTTAGTGTGGTTATTTGTTCCCAACAGTCTTCTGTACCCACATCCAGTGTGTCACAGTAGGTGTGCCAATAAATATTTGCTGAATGATGATATACACACATTAAGTGGATGAATAGAGAGGGCCAGGGAAACTAGATGACAGTTAATTAAAATGAGATTTTTAGGAAATCAGCCATGGGAAACTGAGAAAACACTTCATTATCTGCTCCCTTTATCTTTTCTTTACTCAAATACAAAAGGCTTGACCAACGGTAAGGCAGGGGTTGAAGAAATGGCCCTAAAGCAAGGCTATACACATCTAAAACTCTTCCTTCTTGCATGACATGTTTTGAGGAATAAGGATGCTATGAAATTAGAGGCTTCATGCACAGATTGCATTTCTCAATTGCTTGGCTGTGGTATAAAACCTGTACCCAGCACCTTTACTCTAATCTTTGGTTAGAAGGCAGGCCTACTAACAAGTCATCCTACTAACATGCTCTCTATATTTTAATCTGCCCTCCACAGAAACAAGTTATTCTTCTGAAGCAAGAATCTGTGATGCCACTATGTCTCCTGAATACTTATATGATGTTCAAACTTCACACTACTCAGGTCCTTTATAATCATGTCCCCATGTTCCTCTTCAGATCTATCTTCAGGCCACAAACTCTGAGATACAGTCACCCTGTACAACCCACCATTCTCTAAACTGTCATATATTTTCATTCCTTCCTGTCTTGATGCATGATATTTTTTTCTGCCTGAAACACCATTCCCAATGTCCTCAGCCTAACTCAAAGACAACCTGCTTAAAGATAACCTCTAACAAGACCTCCTATCTCTACCAAGTAGTGATGTTACCCTCTTTCGTGTCCCTAAAAGCTGTCTATCTGTACAGTTCTCTATCATGTCACACAGCACACCACACAGGGGCTCTTTGCTATCAAGTATGTCTCTATCAGCCTGTGAGCTCTTGCAGGTAGAGGCTATCACTTTCCCAGCTCTGTATCAGCAGCTCCTCTATGAAAGGGCTGTCCTAAGTGGGTACTCATAAATGTTGGTTGAATGAATGAAAGCAAATACAAGAAAGTAAGGTCAAGACTAAGAGCTAGATTTTAAAGTCAAACCAATCTGAATATAACTCCTAGGCTCCATCATTTACTAGCTGTGTGAGATCTTAGGCATATAATTTCGCTGCTCTGAGTTCTGGTTTACTCATTTGTAAAAAGTTGATAAAGAAAGTACCCACTTCATTGGGTTTTATGAGAATTAAATAAGATAAAGTACACAAAGCAGAGATCACAGTACCTGGTATCACAGCAAATGCTCAACAAGCAGGAACTAAAAATGATAATGTTTAATTGATAGTAATACAATCTCAGAAAATAAAAATAATTGCATGGCTGCAATTGGATTTGTACAGGGCTACATACCTGTTTTCCACTCAGTTGGTAGAAGGAAAGTTTTTGACCCCAGTCAGCCACAGCCAGGATGTCATTATGCTCCTCTCTAATCAACAGAAGATAAAAGAGGTTATGAAGGGCCATGGCCTGCTGATGAGTATAGCTCTAAGGTCTTAGACAACAGGAAGAAAGCCCTGGCCTCAGGTTGCCAAATGTTGTACAGCTCTACTGAAGCCAAAAGTTGTAATATGGGCCAACCCATCAATCAGTATTATGGGATGAAGCAGAGGTGAGGTTCACCCTTCCTGGGATCTGCTATTTCACTGAATCTCCTGCCAGGAGCTTATGGTACATTGCCTTAGCTGAAGAAGAAAAACCTCTTATTTTAGAGCTTCCTGGGGAGCAACACTAAGACAGACAAAGCTGCAGTGTTGAGACTGCTTTTCTCTTACGTACTAGAAAATGTGGGGAGATGGCGGATAAACCTCCTTTGCCTTGCAAAGGTATTTTTTAATAGACAGGAGGGAAACTTGCTTGCTCTTCCTGAAGAAAGAAAATGAACACCTAAAAATAGGTTATCCTACAGGTGGGGTCCTTACCCTGTCCAAGGTTGAAATGGTTTCTGACTGAATCTAATTTTCAAAAAAGAGAAATGGGCTCTCTGAAAACCAACAACTGTCTTTGAAACTGAGAACCTATGGGAATCAGTGCTGTGGGGCTGAGACTGTAGGATAAGCACACAGGAGAAACTCCCTTGCCTGAGGCTGGGGAGCAAGCTACCTGGGAATCTAGTTTAAGAGAAAAGTGGCCAGGCGTGGTGGCTCACGGCTATAATCCCAGCACTTTAGGAGACCAAGGCGGGTGGATCACCTGAGGTCAGGAGTTCGAGACCAGCCTGGCCAGCATGGGGAAACCCTGTCATTACTGAAAATACAAAATTAGCCGTGCATGGTGGCGTGCACCTGTAATCCCAGCTATTCCAGAGGCTGAGGCATAAGAATTGCTTAGAATCTGGGAGGTGGAGGTTGCAGTGAGCTGAGATCATGCCACTGCACTCCAGCCTGGGT